ATGAGTATTATGAGAGTCAAAGACTTCAACTATCAAAGCGATGTAGGCCCAGTGCTGAATAACCAAAGATAAAAAGGCAGCACTCACAATACTTCAGGCGTAAGTTGACAGATCCCACATTTTCTGAGTCATTCCTGTCATGTGACTAAACTTGACTCATGTTTGACATGATTGGTAAAGGTGACTTATTCTGAGGTCTTGTGCGAGTGCTACCTTTTTGTCTTTGGTTATACAACACAGAGGCCGTACTTTGCTTAAGAAATGTTTGCGCTCTGGCTACAGTCCTAACCAGCATGCACACGCCGTCCTGTTATCTCGGTGTGTTTTCAGGGTTTGCAAGGACATTTTAAAGTCGCGTCAAAAAGTACATCATGATTGTCCTTTGACTTTGGTTCGGGTATTTCAAAAACAATGTCTTTACCTCGTCTTGTGCAGTGAAATGTTGTCTTTTTCTTTTTAAGTCTGCTTTGCACCGCTGGGCCAACGTCATCACTGGTGCAGATTGCAGATGAACTTTTTCTTGCGTACAGGCGCACAGACGGGCAAACTCGAGTCGGTAAACGGTTGATTCTGTGGCACCACCGTTTCTCGTCTACAGACTTTTTGTCAGGAGTGAAACAAAATAATTGCCAGATTTTCTCCTCGACACGTGCTCTGTCTCGTAGTAAGGGGATGCACTGACTGTGAAATACTAGGCCGTAATCCAGCACTGATACTGACATTTTTTTTTTTTTTTTAGTCTTTATTTGTTTTTTTTGTTCCAGGTGAAAGAAAAGAAAAAAAACTTTATTTAAAAAAAAAAAAAAAGCATGTGTTTTAGCTCTTCATGGAACAGTTTTTGAACATTTAGCCAGCGCAAAGTCAGTACGCCATCTTATCAGCTGATACTTGGCTGATTCATCGGTGCATCCCTACCTCATGCTTTGAAAATATATGTATAAAAATAATCTTAACGTGGAACGGCTGCAGTTCGTTTGCTTCTGTCGAGCGTCTGCACATTTGAGGAACTCAAGTTAAATGAAGCAGTCAAGGAATGCCTTGTCACTGATTGGTGAATGTGCTACTGATTGGTTAGCAAGCGCCAGCCAATGAAATGCCTGAATTTGGATGGTTGTGGTGAATTGGGCGGAACTGCCATCATTACGTTTCCAGAGTGATGTAGATTTCAGTGTGCTTTAGGGGTGAATGTTTCTTTTCGTGATTTATCATTTGACGGCGCGCCAGTAGACCACATTGATACTGTACAAGTGCTAGTGTTGGTTTGTTTGTGTTTTGGAGACACTTGATGGGTGAAGTCACGTGGTGATTGGGTTTACGGATTCTTATTTAAGATTTAAGATATAGCCATTTTAAGAGCCATGTGTCAATAAATAATACCATTTTAGCCTTTGTAAGCATCACTTAGTCACCACTGTAACAGACAAGCGATCGTGAGTCAAATGAACATTTCATTTTCTTTTTTAAACGTGTTCTATTTGGTTGATGAGCATTGATGACTTCGCACAGATCAGACTCCCCGTCGAGGGCAGAAATGTTCAACTTGCCAAGAGTCATTGGGTCTGTTGCCATGGTTACACAGTGCAGCTGACACAACGGCAAAAAAATAAAAGCGGGGGGTTTTTCCTCATAGATATATACACACAGATGCCACACTGGTTGTTGCTCCTCACTGTAATGACTCCACGCAGCACCACGTTGCTCGGGGGAGCACACATCTGCACACGATCACGGATTGTTGTACCTCGCTGAATTTTCCACAGATTTTCGAGCAGTGTTTATGATACATGTGCTGAAACGGTTAATAATGCTTAAATAACGTTACAGTCCGGCAGCTGCTTCTTTGTGACACTCTGCTGTAAAAAGCAACAGATTACTCCATCACTTTAACGTGTCTACTGTCCCGTCAAAGTCTGACTTGAAAAGAGAGCTGCAGATGAGCCAGTGTTGGTCTTTCTCTCACTCCTGCAGTCTGTCTTTATTCTGTGGACTCTTTAAACAAACAAGTCCACCTAAAGCAGCTCTGTAGGTTTCTGTAGCTACAGTTCAGGTATAGGTCACATGGGTTTCTAGAGTCTTTCTAGAGCATGTTGGAGCTCTCGGACCGAATATCAGATCAAATATTTAATGATAAATAAAATACGAATCTCCTTTTCTTTAGCTGGTATATGACAGTGTTAGCTTGGGACTACTTTTTAGTATACCAAATTAAAGACATTCGTAACGGTAAAACAAGTTCTCGTCTGTGGAAAGTTTTAGCATTTCTTCAGTGAAACATCAAAAAGAAGCACAAAAATTTGGCGTTATTTATAGGACTGGATGACAGGAAATGCTCAGAGCTCGTGAGCAAGACAGCTGTGGCATCTGTGTTCATATGTGTTTTCCCTCCTATGGAAAAAGGAAAAAAAAAAAAAAAAGGACCTTGCCTGTTTTTGATACACAAAACTGTTTTTTTTTTTTTTTAATAGTTACTGGTTAACTTGTGGTATCTACATGTCATTAACTGCAATAACATGAATTGTTTTACTGAGTGGCCCTCTTCGTGATGAGGGCTACGGGTGTGTGATGGGGTAAAGGGGTGAATGTTAATTACAGTGGGGGGAGGAAGATGCCTGTAAATGTGTTTCTCCACTCTTCTCTCGGCACACTTGACTTCACCTGGTTATTCCTTCAGGCGATTTGATCTTCATCTCTTCACAGGTTTGACTGATGAGGCAACAGTTCAACCTAACTATGCTTTATATTCTTTTACTACTCCACACTTTCACACTCCAGTTTTGTGTGTAGATCTTAGAAAGCAGGTGGACCTTTTTCTTTTTTTTTTTAAATTGAGCTGTAGGCATAAATAAGTGTGCTCAGATGGGATGGGTTTTCATTTCCATTTCAGTTATTCTCTTGAACACAAGAGTTTAACCTGCTTCTCTGACTTTAGCTGTTGGAGGGTGAGCGTCTCACCAACATCTCACTGAAAATGAGGGCTATAACTGTCTGTCGTGACTGTTCATACATTCGTCAGTCTCTCTGCTCCGTGTTCATCTTTGCATATCTTCTCTTTACCTTTGTGTGAGATATTGTGTAAAAAAGGATGTTTGGATTAATGAGAAAATGGTGGCTTTACATTTTTCAGCATTAAACTTGAATTATAAGAAACTGCAGACTCCTGTCACGCTTTTTACGTTCTGTATCAAAATGTTTTCATTGCCTGAACTAAAATTGCTTTCCATTCCTTGCAATCATCTGTTAGTGACATGGTTAATCTGTGATTTACAATACGGGCCTCATGCTGCATCTCCAGCTCCACTAATGATCAAAGGTTCTCTGCACTGAGTGACCTGCATTTCATCACTGACAGTTCATCATCTCAGATTCTGTAAATGGAAAATTAACGTCATCACGTGGTGCTTGTTTCCTTTAATGTAAAATAATGTTAGAAAAACAGAACGGATACATAAGATTTTAACAAGATGAAGAATAGAAAGTGTAGCACACAAAAATGTCCTGGAGAAGGAGACCAGATGTGCTGTAGTGTGAGCATCACCTCAGCACATTGGATTGCAGACCAACTGCATCTAGTGGACATCTAGCATTACAATTGCTTTTAAAGAAAACAAAACTAAATGGAGACGCGTCAAGGTTTTCATGTGTGTTCGCATATTTGTCCTCAGCTTGCTCTTAGCCCATGACTACACATACATCATACCAACACCACTGTCACATTTGCTAATAATGGCACGATAGCAGGTGACGAGTTCAACCTCTGACTGTGTGATGTTGTCACAATAATCTGGACTTAAACCCAGTAAAAGCAGAGAAGCAATGTAGCCTTTAGAAAACTGAAGCATACTGAGCACTTTGCTTCAGGCGTACAGGTGGAGGAAGTGGAGAGCTTTAAGTTCCTTGGTGTGCACATCCTGGTCAATCTCACCCACACCACACATATCTCCCATCGGGTGGGGAAAGGCTTTACATCCTTAGGAAGTTAAAGATATCTCTCATCACTGCTGACCAGCTTCTCTCAGTCAACAACAGCGGGCCTGTCATCTAGTGCTGCATGGTGTGGTTCATCACAACAGAAAAGACTGCATGGGTGGTTCCAGACGTGTGACACTATCGCTCGGTGAGATTTACACAGGATGAGTGCAAAAAAAAAGAGCCACCTGTAAGTTTAATGGATTCATCATCTACATCACCTGAAGCGATGCCACAGTCCTCTGGAAATAGAGCTCAATCAGAAGCAGAACTCACAGATTACAAATTACAAAACAGCTTCTTCAAACAGGCAGTCAAATACATCCCCTCTTCTTCTCCTATTCTACCGCAATAAGCCCCTACCCCGAGAACTACAAGTGCATTAACCCCTGTCCCTCTCATTCTTCATTTTTTGCACTGTATATTATAATCATCATCCACTATTATTTTGCATATATTACCTCACTGTTTGTATCTTTATATTTTCATATTAATGCTCTTGTCTGTTTTGATGTTGCCGCGAAAACTAGTTGTTTTAAACATTAACAATAAGGATTTATTTATTAATTTCCAAATGTGCTGCTTTTATGTGCACATTACAGATTTATTGTTGTACAAGTGTTCATCCTGCAAATCTTTCAATTTCAATTCTGTTTAGCCCCTTAAAAAATAATTGTTATTATTTCTTATATTATAGAAAATATCAGATTGCCTCAAATGTTCATGATAGAATAAAGGTTCATTAAAATAACTATGTTTGTCAAAAAAAATAAGCAGTTGTAAACATTAGAATGACACCATCACCTTTTCAGATCTGGCAGGAGCTCCTTTGTGTTACTTACCTGGTGATGTGACGATTGTTCTCTTCAAAAACAGATCTTTGGTGCTCTTATTTTGAGGTTTTCCCCCAAACTGACTGTAGAGGGCAGCATGTCCCATCCCAGGATACAGCCTGGCGGTCTTTCAGCAGAAGAAGAAGAAACTATTTTTGCCCGGGTTGCTAAAACATCACTTTTATGTTATAGACGTCGATCAACCAGCGCTAAATGATTTGTTTTTTGCTAACCTAACGAGTGTGAGATACCTGAAGGAGACGGTGGTCGCTTCTTTGTAAGTAAGAACGTGTTGCTGAACATTAATATTCAGAGATCGTGTGTCAACATTAGCCATCGTGCTAGCATTAGCGGCTCCGGTGTGATGCGTTTGTGCTCCTGTCAGATCCGCAGGATGAAGGTGAAAATCAAACAGTGGAACGGGGTTGCCTCCTGGCTCTGGGTGGCCAACGATGACAACTGTGGGATCTGCAGGATGGCCTTTAACGGCTGCTGTCCTGACTGTGAGTATCAGAGCTAATAACATAGCACTAAGTAACGAGTGGCTGCATTAAAGATGCAAACATAACAAAACAAGATTGTTCTTTGGTGGGTTTGCTTCTAATACATATAACGCTTTATGTATTATCCGACCGACAATATGCCAAATTTATCCTGGCCCTCCTGTTTATACAAAGTAAGTAGTGAGAACGGTGGCAGAGACGGGCAAAAAAATCACCACTCTACAAAAAAACGCTTCTACAAGCTGTGGAACAATTTTAGAAAAATGTTCTTCAAGATAAAATTGCAATGCCTCAGAATATCGCATCGTCTACAGCACATAATATCTGTGTGAAGGGGTTATGGGCAAAAATCAATATTGGATACCTGTGATCATTGGGCTGTACTGCATTTAAAAACAGACCCGATTCTGTCATGGAAATCACTGCAAGGGCTCAATAACATTTCCAGAAATCACTGTCAGTGAAGACAGTTTTACCACAAATATCCACAAATCCAGGTTTGTGTCATCCAAAGAGCAAACTGTATGTGAACATGATCAACGATGATGATGATCATCATCAACATCTCCTCCGGGCTCATTCAAAATGAACTGAGGGGAAGTAGAAAACCTGTTCATAGGTCAGATGAATTGAAATTGTCTTTTGGAAAACATGGTCACCACATCCTCTGGACTAAAGAGGAGAGGAACCTTCCTAGTTGTTAACAGCACAGATGCTGTTGACACGGTAGCATGGAGGAAAAGGTGTCGCTTAGAGGCGACTGAAAGAAATTGATTTTGGATATCTGTGGGTGAAATTAGCTTCTTGTGTTGTCTGGGCTCAGCCTTACGGACAGGATGAGCACTTTAGTCAGGAGACGCTCAAAGCAGAACCTCAGCTGCTCTAGATCGAAAGGAGACAGTTGAGGTTGTTCTGGTGGTGTTTCAGGCATGTCCAACTGGGAGGGGGCCCCGAGTTACGATGAAGAGCTTGACTGTATCACTGATAAGTGGTGGTGGAAAATGGATTGATGGCCGCTCCAGTGACCCATCTTGGAGATCAACTCCAGCTGCAGTATCTTGTGGTATTGCCCGTAGGTTCTTTAGGTTGATATTGAAGACCGCCACAACAGCAGCTAGGCCTGTGAGCCACTCACTGGAGAAAAGGCAACACGGGAAAGGTCACAGGTAGCTGATTAACAGCAACTGAACTTTCAAAATAAGAGCAAATGCCTAAATTGATCGGGGATGGCACTGCTCACACAAATGGATGAAATGAGTTCTTAAATATACTTAAGTGGTCTGTGTGGGGAAACACTTGTATCCTCTTTTAGTATTACAAGAGGACATCTGCTAATCAGCAACTGAATGCAAAATCCTGCCCAGTCTCTCTAATGTGTGTTTTTGTTTGTTTGTTTGTTTGTTTGTTTGTTTGTTTGTTTGTTTGTTTGTTTGTTTGTTTTGCAGGCAAAGTGCCTGGGGATGACTGCCCGCTGGTCTGGGGTCAGTGCTCCCACTGTTTCCACATGCACTGCATCCTGAAGTGGCTGAACTCACAGCAGGTCCAGCAGCAGTGCCCCATGTGCCGGCAGGAGTGGAAGTTCAAGGAGTGAACCTGTGGAGGCGTCGCTGCCACAGAGACGAAAGGCTCGCTCGCAGACTTTTATGTAGACTGTAAATAAATCTGTGTTGGTACTTCTACTAATGCAGAACACACGCTGAATATGTTTTACTGTAGTGGATTTGTGATTAAATTAAATAAGAAAAAAAATGCGTTGTATTGAGTCTGTCTTGGAGGTCTGGCTGATTATTTCCTTGGATCGTGACGTTTATGACTTTGATTTCATGGCAGCTCCACACTGATGTATTATTTCTTGTTTGTTTGTTTGTGTAGCTTTTCATATTTCAGAACCTGTCTGGATAAAAATGGACAAAAAATTTACGAGGTTATCAAAACAATGCTACTTAAATATCTTCTATTCAATTTATCCCTTAACTCTTGAATGTCTCCACAAACTAACATAAATTGTTTAAGTAAGGTCTTAAATAACTTAAATAACTTCAGTGCTCTTTAACAATTATTTTCTAATTCTGCACATCTAATGGAGCCATATAGACCATTCTTCCAGAACATATCCTCTTATTTACTGACACACTGGGGTTGGAGACATGTTTCCTGTAGATGAGCTTAGATCTGGGGACAATGAAGGCCGTAGCAGATGATTCACATGATTTTCATCCTCATCAAACTATACAGTGACCTCTGCTGTGCTGCGGTGGGAGATGACTCCCATCCGGATCCAGTTGTTTTATCAAGAACAAAGGTCCAACATGATCACTGTGTAATGATTTGTACTGACTGTTCCTTCCAGTGCTTTTTATTTCACCCCTCATTTAAGAGCCCATATATTTTTTCATCAATGATTAATAAAATGTTTGTCCTGAAAAATTGCAGTCAGTCATTCTAGATTTGCTCCATATTCTCACCTGGCTAAAGTAATTTAGTTTTATATTTTAGTTTTTGTCCTGTTTTTTTTTTTTTAAGTTTAGTTTCACGTAGTAACTAGAGAAATTTTTCAAATACCACATTTTGTGGAGGACGTGAACATGTCATGTAGTCATCATTTTTAGTTTCAGCTGGTTTTAGTTTCTATTTTAATTGCAGTTAACTGTAATAACCTCAGTCCATGACCATCCTGCATGGCGTCTGAGGTGGTAAAAGGCAAAATCACTTTTAACTTCAGGGATATTAATCTGTTCAGTTAGGAAACGGAAGCTATTGCGAGTCCAACTGCAAACCTGCTGTCTCAAGTATGTGGAGAAGGTACCGGAAGACAGCCGAACAGGGAACCTCTGAACTGCCACATGAGGAGCCATATTTCGGACATCCTGCTGCATGCGGTGTGAGCAGAAACCTGATGTAGTTAACAGTTTAAACCACTAGGTGGCAGCATTTACCGGGATAGTCCCAGTGACCCCGCCCTCAAAGTCGCGTCAGCAGTACGGAAGTAAACAGCCTGCTCCCTGCTGCTGTCAGTTGGTGTTTTCTTTTCTTAAAAACAGTAATTTCACAGCTGGTCGTGTCTTCATTAGCAGGCTGACAGATGTCCGCTTCTCCCGCAGAAGATCTGCTCCAGCAGTGGGAAAGGTCAGAGTGCTGTTCTGTCTCAGCTACTCACAGCACACCTTAAATACGACCCAGTTTTTATTCTGCAGTTAAGTCCATTAGACTCGTTTTGCTCCAAACGTTGCTGATTCTTTATCTTCAAAGTTTTCCAAAGTGTCCCATCCAGAAGAAGTCAGCTTCAGTGGATGGTGAAATACCAAAACAGCACCATATTAGGCTTTATAATCGTTTAACGCAAGGATACAGTTATAACGACCTCATCCATATTTTGGGATCCTAAAATGATAAAAATTCAGCTTCAAGAGTGATGATATCTTAAAATACCAGAGGTCTCTATTCTTTAAAAATAAATATTTTCAGTATTTTCATTACCATTATTTAATTTCATCATGATTGTATTTATTTCCTGTTTATATTCTTCTTTTCTCTCTGTGTCTCTGTATCTTTAAGAACTCAGTGTTTGTTCATCCTACATTAGAGCAGCAGTAATTGTTTGACAGTAAATGGTTTTCTCACCTGTCTTACTAAAGTTTGTAAAAATGTCGTTTGTCAGTAAAAAGCAGCGACTGTGCTGACAGATGCTGCTGTGCAGGGGATGCAATTTCTGTCAGGGCCAACTACTTTGGCACGACACAGGCAGCTCTTGGAGCTGAGCCACCTCCACACCTCATCAGCCTTTCATTGATTTACTTGTTTGTAAAGACAAGACCAATGATATCATCATGTTAGTCTGTATCATGTCCTGATGTCTCTGATTAATGTGAGCGTGTGGAGCTCCTGCTGTCCTGCAGAGAGACACAATTACAACATTTACAGATATTTACATTTCAACAGTACAATACAATCAGCTGACTGATTCTTCTTTTAGACATTATTAAAAATTCACGATGTGAATGTCACTGGTTTTGAAAGCTCTCGAGATAAGCCCTTGTTTTGAATAATTAAATTAGTTGCAGTTCTACAAACCACAGCAGGAGGCGAACCACCTGGGTTCATCAAGCCACTGTGAGAGTTTCAGATTTGTTGCTGTTAACAGCCCTTTTGTCTGCTATAGACTTTACATGCCGGCCTCATATTTTTTCATGAAGTAATTGCCAGCGAGTGTGTTTATATTTGTTTGTGTTTATGTTTATATATTTGTTTCCCGATGCAGTGAGCAGGCACGTCTGAGGCAGCAGGTGCTGGAGGACGACACAGAGGACTGGCAGAGGAGCCCAGACTTTTCAGGTCTGGAGCGAGTTGGTGGGGTGGACCTCTCCTTCATCAAAGGGGATGACGTCAATGCCTGTGCCCAGCTTGTGGTACTCAGCTACCCAGATCTGCAGGTGAGCTACAGAGATAAAATAACCCTGTAATGCCAAATATATCATATTTCATAAAACATTAGTGTTATTTTATAACCCTAACCCCCTTTATATGTTTTTGTTTGTTTAAGATAAATAAAAGATTACAGATTAAAACTCATATATGTAAATTAAAATTTAATTTCCATTTTTCAACTTGTGAGAAAGTTCAATAAACACTTGAGTTAAAAACATCGAAGCTTTTCTGACCTCTAGTGGTGACAGGTGGGAACAGCAGCAGTGCTTCGTGGAGAAGGCTGAGGATCAGAAATTGAATTCCACAGGCTGCATTTTTTTCACCAGTGACACCTTTAATGAAAAGGAAACACATGACGATACAAAATGCTATCCTTAAAAAAATGCTTGGCCTTTGAAGGCTTTGTAATACGTGCAGCTGGAATATTGCGCAAGGCCAGCTGTTAACCTTTAAAGTAGTCTCATTTACTTTGTTTGGGCACTGAATACAAAGTCCTTATGGGCGTTTTTCTCCTCTTGCTTCCTCGCCTTGAAGTCACAGCTTTTTTTATGACTCCTGAAAGCTGGCGGCATGAGGAAGAAATTATTCTTGCTCTCGCCGGGGCTGTCGGTATGTTCTAGGGAGCCGCTGAAGTGATTTTAAATGTTTTACCCTCACCTTTTGATAACTTCTCCTGTGAGCTTCTGCCTGTGGGGCTTATGCACAGTCATATGCCAACAACGTTATTTTAGGCATATTAGAATGCAAACCCCGAGGAGCGCATATTTGTTTTCCTCAGAGCTGCTGCTTTCTTCTGTTGGCTTTCTTTTTTCCAAGACAAAAATTTTTTTTTTCTTGGCCTTCAGAAAAACATTTTGATAAATATATACGTTTATGTCAAGTAATTACAATGTTAAATATAATTAAACTTCATGCATAGATATAGCTTCTGATCCAGTTGTATAGAAGAAGACAATAACCTTTCGTTTCATTTATAACCTGAATAAAATCTTTCCTGATGAGTTCATGCACTCAGCCGCTCCTTTTAATTTTTCTTTAATGCAGCGTGATCTCTGATTTTGTAAATTATGATCTGATTTAAAGTAAAATAGAATTGTAAACACACAGAAAAGCTGTATGTAGCCTGTGTCCCTATTTTTAAAATATACACATAAATTGAAAACAGTAGTCTGGCAGTGAAAGTGTTAATATGCAACAGAGCTCCTCAAAGTGACCTTCCCAGTCCGGCTTTTCATTTCATTTACTTTCCCAGCAGCCTTTCACCAGCACTGCTCCTCGCAGTTATTTATCTGTGCATTAACACGGCCTGCTGGCAATTTCCAATTATAATTAATGACATATGTCACCATACATTGTTGATACATGGACCCAGTGAGGCTAATGAAATGTGTTCAGAAATGTTGTTCAATAATGTGATTATGTTCCCTGCTTGTTTTCAATTTACTTCAACATTGCCACCTGAGGCTATTTGGGGCTCAAAAGAATGCTAGTTCCACGTTCCACAGTGTGCTCACTGCTGCTGCAAGTCACACAGAAAAAAAGCAAAAGTTGTATAATTTTATTGTTTCTCACTGAATAAATATGCCTGTGAGGAGATGAAGGTCACGGCAGTCGACAATGTGACAATGACATATCCTGAAAGGTGTTCGGCATTTCTAAAGCCAGATGACAAGGCAGGTATTCAGAAACGTTTCTGCTGTGAGCCTCTGCGAGCTCGACTCGGCGGACAGCTTTTGTGTGTTTTATTTGTAGCTCATGCCCGATAACAGCCTCGATAACACGTGATGCTGTTAGATGTTACATCATTCGAGATGTGAGCACATCTCTTCGCTGTGAGCAGAACAGGATTTTATATGCTGGTCAGAAAGTTGCGACAGCTTGTGCACCTGTAATCTGCATAAGGTCTCAGAGGGTCTCCTGGACCCTGCTGGTACCTCACAGGATACTCGGAAGGAGATCATGGCAGACATGTTTACCTGCGGCGATGCTGCTTAAAATAGACAGGACAGCGAGGGAGGTACATACATGGATCCTGCCAACATGGGAAAGGCTGTTTACAGTATATATTGTGCTGATTTTACAACCCGCTGTGGTTCTAATCAAAATGTAGTCTGCATGGCAATACTAAGACTGTTAATTAGGCAATATTGATAGTGTTTTACATAAACAAAGGGGCTCTTTTCGGCTCCAGATTTGTATTCATGGACACATAAGTATCTTTGTATTATTCAGTTCAAAATAACCCTCATTTATCTTGTGCCGGTGCAGCTCTTGAGTTCAGTCTCCTATTAAAAACTAGTTTAGATCCTCTTCCTGTAAGCTAACTTTCATGGAGCATGGAGAAACAATGTTGTTGCTCTTGCTTGGCTCGTATGTGTTGAGCCTTATAGTTGTGTATTCTTCTGAGACCTCTCCATGTTCATGATTGGTGATCCCCGTTTATTTTGAACGGGATTTAGAAAATATGGGCTGACTCATTACAAGTTCATGTGGCCTCTTGTGGTTGTCAGACAATGAGTAGATATCCTGCTGTTGAACTCGCTCTGCACTACAGGCTTCCCGAGGATGAGATTAAAAATTAGATGTACACCAAAATTTTAGGAGTTTATACAGTTAAACTGTAACTGTGTCCACTTAATTGACCAGGTCACTTAAATGAAATAAATTGTCAGATGTTCAGAATATACTCACAGCCTTTAATCAACAGGGAGCAGATGTTTCATTTTGTGCCAGATGGGCGATGTTGGTGATTATCTTGTACAGCTTGTCTGTGCCTTTGGACTCACCCTTACATATACACTAGGGTGGACGCATTTGTCCAAAGCACCCTGACAGTGTCCCTGACTGACTCATTTATGTACAGTCATGCAATAATGTAGGTTTTCACAGGACTCTGTGCAGTGCTGTGAAAAGCTGAGTACAGACTTACTGCTTCCTTAGAACATAAAAGGCTGAGAAGCGCCAATGCTGCTAATCAAATGCAGCACCTCTGTTAAAGCAGAAGTTTGGGCGGTTTGCTGGTCTGTAGGATTCAGGTGTGTGTTAACACAATGCCATAAACATCCCAGGTGTGGATGTCACAGCAAATTCACCCCAAGGTCAGACCATGCAATCGTCAGTGAAACTGCAAAAGCCCAAGAGCTCCATCTCAGATTCTCAAGGCCTCAATTAGCATGCAAACGTTATGTTAAAAAAAATGAACAAAGATTTTTTTTTTCAAATGGTTGCCAAGAGAAATCGTCTGCTCTCCAAAAGTCCTCAAAGTTGCATCTGAACAAACCACAAGAGTTGCAGAACCAAAGTAGAGATGTTTGATTATAATGCACAGCACCACATCTGGAAAAAAAACAACATATCAGCACAAACACCCCATAACAACTGTAAGCACGGGGATGGAGGGGCGATGATTGTGCTTGGGCTTGTTGTGCAGCCACAGGACCTGGGCACTCCGCAGTCACTGAGTCTACCATGAACTTCTCTGTATACTTGTGGTCATCTGACTGACTGAAATATGGATATCCTGCAGAATTATCCAACGTGGCTTAAAGGTTAATAACAGTAACACACTCGTTATGTCAGCAGAAGTGGCACCTGGCAGATACTGGCCTGTGTCAGCCCACCTGTCAATCAAAGCAGCCATGCCCCTAACAAAATTTAAAAAAAGATGGGTTATTAAAAAAACAAAAAAAGGTTTTATGATGAATGAAGGTGATGAAGATGTTAGTGTGGGTGTCTGTGGAGACTTTGGAGATTGCTGCTTGCAATGGAGAAATGAAATATTGTGATAATCCGACGGTGTAGTAAAATTCAGTCATAAGAAATGAAGCAGTCTCTGCTCCCTCCTGCCAGGTGCTGTATGAAGACAGTCAGATGGTGACCCTGACGGCCCCCTACATAGCCGGCTTTCTGGCATTCAGAGAAACTCCTTTCCTCCTGGAGGCTCTGCAGAGGCTGAAGAAGAACCAGCCCACACTCCTTCCTCAGGTCTGGACGTGCTAGAACTTGAATAATGACCTCTTAGTGCAGGGGTGGGCAACTCCAGGCCTCGAGGGCCGGTGTCCTGCAGGTTTTAGATGTGTCCTTGAGCCAACACAGATGATTCAATGGCTGAATGACCTCCTCAGCATGTCCTTAAGTTCTCCAGAGGCCTGGTAACGAACTAATCATGCGATTAAGGTGTGTTGACCCAGGGGGATATCTAAAACCTGCTGGACACCGGCCCTCGAGGCCTGGAGTTGCCCACCCCTGTTTTAGTGACTACTGAAATGGGTTCTGTTTGTTTCTGTCAGATTAACTTCTCAAAGCTACACAGACAAAGGAAAATATATATATCTTTTTGCATTTTTATTTGACCAGGAAGTAAAACAAACTCTTTTTCCATTATTTCGATGATGCTGATGGTTCATATTCACAATAGAGTGAAAAGAAAACATTTTAGTTTGTGCTTGTTAACCTTAGTTTGCAGTTTTGGCATAATTCCTACAGATAAAGTTAGAAACCTGAGGATTTTGGGCAAACTAAGTAATTAAAATTTCTTCAGTAAGATCTGAGTGTTATTATTGTGATAACTATTATTATTATATTTATGGTAGCAGTACTAGAAGAAGTGATATAATTCCCATCTCCAGGGCACAGTGAGCTGGAAATGTTTTAATAACCGATAAATCCTCCAAAGTGGAAAAAGTTACTTATGAATCCAACAAGACCGACAACCTGCTAACGTTACTGGATTTGGACAAGTGCTTTAAAACCTCGCATCACGTTCATGCACATTAAGTGAAGCTCCTCTGTTTGTCCTCTCGGTTTTTTGTTTTTCTAAAGCGACGCCTCTTGTTCATCTTCACCCACTCGCTTCTGTTTGTCGCAGCCCACACGCCTCCCACTCTGTCCCTCTGTCGTCCTCGTGCACGCAGGTGTGCAGAAACACACACATTCACACTTAGAAAGTCATGCACGCACACACACACACACACACACACACACACACACACACACACACACACACACACACACACACACACACAAGCTCAGATTTACTTCCAGTGACATTTAGCTCTGGACAGATGCAGTCACTGCTCCCTTTATCTGCAACCTTTCAAGTGAGTGTTCCTGGTGACTTATGATTCAAGCAGAAATATGTCTGCGGAGTCACCTTTGGCTTTAAAAATTCATCGGTGTGTTGGAGCTGGAAGCGTTCCAATATCAGTTTGAGGAGCTCTTACTAACTTCGGCTTTTGAAGATCTTCTGCCATCCCAGGGTTATAGACACAATAGATAACAACAAAAATCTTTCACTCTGGACATTTTAGTTGATCATATCATTCATAGCACAGGTAGAAGCAAAAGATTAATAATACCTCTGTTGATGAAGTAGCTCTGTTTATTATTTCACCTGTGCTTTTAATCCTCAGACACGTGGAAAAGTCTGCTGTGGAAAAAGCGAGTAATATCGAGCTTCCTGCAGTCGAACTCATTTCAGGTGTGTTCTCTCTGCAGGTGGTGTTTGTGGATGGGAATGGTCTCTTTCATTACAGAGGTGAGGCGACTGACCGAACAAAGATTTTAGATTTTCTGTTTTTACTTTAAAGATAACATAATGTAATAAACTTTTAATAACACTGATAAAAAATATTAACAGTTCACTGTAAAAAATCGAACAAACAACAAAAATCTAAAAACACACATTTAATGAATAATGTGTTTGTTAGTTTCTCTGTACCTGTACAATCATCGCCCAGTTTTCCCTCAAGGTCATCTTCTTGTCCATCTGGACCTATGCGATTAACGCTGGATTCAGAGGCGCCACCAAAGGGGGGCCAGGAGGGGCACTGGACACCCCTTAAAATTTGCTGGCCGCCCCCCTGTCGCCTCTGTGACCTCTGTGTTGGTAATAATTTTAAAAAACGTGAACACAAGAGCGAGGAAGAATCTTTAAAGGGATGGATGGATTTTAAAATCTTATTTGGTTTTCATATGTACATATTTTGAGTGATATCAAATCTAATAGCAGGAAATAAACTAGGTATATAATTCAGTTTTTTCTCTCTTTTTTTGCCATATTTTTCAAGTAACCTATATTTGACAACAGCAATAAAATTGAAAACCCTGTTTTTGGTGTGCCACCCCCACATGGCCACCCCTATGAAAAAATTTTGGAGCGTCCCTGGTTGGTTATATCAACACCTTCAGCTTGAACTTAATTTTGTGACATAAGAGACAGCTGTAGGGATTCAGATCTGTCGAGGGTGGAGGGAAGTGACCAGCGGTTGTATGACTGTGTGGCCAAAGAAGTGACACACATAACCTATGTCCAATGATTGTTTTCCATGAGCCGGCTCGGGATGTTAGAGTACACTCATCTCTGTGAAAGGAAAATGGAAAAAATGACGTGCATGCCGATGCTGCTGTTCGGTCTCTGGGTCGTACGTAGCATGACACTCGTCAGCAGCGCATCTTCAAAAAAAGAGACAGCTAAAAATTTCAGTCTGATTTTCACTGATCATTAATTCACAGATTTGCATTCAGCTCCACTCGAGCTTGTTAAAAATACTGAATTCAAGGTGAGTCGAGCGAGGTTTGAGGACAAGCTGTATAAACTTTGGTTTTCACTAAAGGGACTGTTGGGTGTAACACCTGATAAAATCAACCCTGAGTGAATCACCGTGAAGCCCTCTGTTGTAACGTTTCTTTGCATCACACAGTTCGCTGAAGCACGTTTACTCCCCGCTGTTTAATTTTGGATGTGACTTGATTGTCGCTGTTTGGATCGTTGCAGAGTTTGGCTTGGCGTGTCACCTGGGAGTGCTGTCAGGGCTGCCCTGTGTGGGCGTGGCCAAAAACTTGCTGCAGGTGCAAGGAGTCAACAAGAGTGAGGAGCATCAGTCACAAGTGAGAAAACATCATCTCTTTTTTAAATTTAAGATCTTTTTTGTTTTAAACGTAGATTCTGTAGGTTTGATGAGTCAATGTGTGCACTTTGTTATGCTCAGGTCTCCAGTCATACAGCATTGTTGTATCCATTGTGGTTTTCAGTGTTATAAAAAGGCCATTTCAAAATGACGAGTCTAAGACTTGAACGTCTGTTTCTCCCACCGAGCTGCAGAGCCTCGTCACTCTGCGGTTTGGCCTTCAGAGCTCTTTGATGTAAAAGAGATGAAGAAAACCTGCTTCATATTTAATGTTTCTTTTAGTTGTGTACACATGTTTCTCTTGTAAAAGAGCTCCCAGTGTTGACAGGAGTCACTGGATGAATTATTTAAGTTTTCAAAGTGTAATCGCTTTCTCTGCTCGCTGCATCTAAAGAGAAAAGCAAAGAAATGTCAGAGAGGGACGAAGCAAAGGACAGAGTTGTTTTTCAGTGTGACTTTGTGTGCATCTAAACTCACAACTTCTAATTCTACGTGTGTGTGTGTGAGAGTGCGCTTTGTTTGCGTGTATTACTGTTCTCACTGTGACTTTTATTGCAAGCCAAGGCCTTGCTGTGTCGCTAACGCTAATGTGACTTTTTGAATACAAATCAAGCTGGGACAAATGTGCACTGGTCAAAGTATACCTGTGGGACAGCAAAACCTGGTTTTCATTAATATGCAAATGCTCCCTTTGCTCCAGTCTGCAGCTCAGCGACCTGCTGAGGAAAAAAAACAAAACACTTTAAAGTTAAATCTACCCGATGAAACGAGCAGGTGCGTCAGTTATCATTTCACTTCAGGCCAAACTGAACGGAAGAGGGACAGACCAGTGAAGCCACAGGAAAATATTAAAAAACTGTTCCCTCTTTTTAATGTAATAAGGATGAAAAGCAACATCAAGTCAAACCTAATGCAACTAATGAGTAGGAATGAACCAAAAACTACATGTGGCATAGAAGGAACTGCAACAAAACCAGCGCAAACTGAGTAAAACAACTTATACAGTCAGAGGTTTTTACAGGAATCTGTGTAAGTACACCTTCACTCCATCCATAGAAATTATAGGAAGTTATTGGTACTGAATCATGGAGTTTATTTCGTTTTTCAGAGAACTGCACAGTCCTGTGAAAACTGTGAAAGCTATTTCCTTTTTGAGGCGGGAGGAGCAGAAGGCGGTCCGACCAAGCAAAAACTGATACATCAAAAAGATCAATAAAAATGCTTTGTCTGAATCTTACATGAACTACACACATTCACATGCTCATGCAGCTCCAGGAGATTATTTAAGACTTCATCTTCCTCGGAAACTTCCAGATTCCTCACAGAAAAAGCTCGAACCCTGTGGCCTTCTTGTCTGAGTTGACAGTGAATTAGCTGAGCTTAAGTGTGGTCACTTCTGAAAAGCCATTATGCAAATTCTAAATAGAATCTAAAGGTCTGCAGTTATGAGCATTTTAATGCTGAGTGGTCCTCCAAAGTTTTGGAGAGGAGCGGACAGACATCTGATCCACTTCTCAGTTAGCATCAGATACATAGTGTGATTACAACCCCGGCAATCTTCATGTAGTCATGTAAGATGCTAATTCAATTCTCTGCAATGTATCCATCTCATGAATTAGTGTTAGTGGCTTTGGCGTCAGAAAAATTACGCCCGTCTTTTCCCCCTGGGGGGAATCTGATCTTTGTTTACACCTATCATGGTCACCCCCGACGATCCAGTCACACTTATCTACTGAAACAATATGTGTCCAAATACATGTGGCTCATTTACTTTCAGGATCAGGTAGCACAGGCATTACACGGCCATGCTGCATGTTTGGCTCAAGCTATTAGCTTTGGATCAGCGTGAAATTTTAGAAGTCCCTTCCTGCCCATATTGATGTAATTGTCACTCTCTGGGGCTCTTTCTAATTTGTCTACAGGCACGCACACGATTGCGGCGCTTCAAGGGAACACCAGCTTTGGCGCTTGAGCGCTTGGTGGGAAATTAGCTGTGAAGTAATCTGTGAAACACAAGCCATATCAGGCTTCCTACCAAATTTCAGAAAATTAGCTCTTTTGAAACAAGATTAGCCATTACTGGAGCTACGAGCACACCGCCACGTACCACTGACGAGCAATACGCTGCCATACTCGATTAGATCAGATGTCAGAGTTTCTTTCAACATTTCCAGCAAACAGAGTTTCTGAAAGCCAATATGCAGTCTGAGAAGTGTCTCTCAAGGTTACAGAAGTTTCTCTTAGTTGCGGCAATTAAATGTGCAAACCTTGAAAGTAAAGGTGTGTATGTGCGTCTTTATCAGATGGAGCCTCCTTGGAAAGGTGAAAATGAAACACTGTATAGCACAGGGATTGTGTTAATGTACGAATGCACATAATATGTTGCAGGATGAGCCTGTGCTCAGAGAAACTATAATGTACATAAATTTTAAAGATGCACTGTAAAACAAATATATTTTTGCATGGAGGTTTGAGTTTCATTAAGAAACAGTAGACATCTATTCAATTCAATTCAATTTTATTTATATAGCACCAAATCACAACAACAGTTGCCTCAAGGCGCTTTACATTGTAAGGTAGACCCTACAACAATACATACAGAGAAAAAACCAACAATCATATGAACCCCTATGAGCAAGCACTTTGGTGACAGTGGGAAGGAAAAACTCCCTTTTAACAGGAAGAAACCTCCAGCAGAACCAGGCTCAGGGAGGGGCGGGGCCATCTGCTGTGATTGGTTGGTGTGAGAGAAGGAAGACAGGATAAAGACATGCTGTGGAAGAGAGACAGAGGTTAATAACAAGTGATTCTATGCAGAGAGGTCTGTTAACACATAGTGAGTGACTGAAGAAGAAATACCCAATGCATCATCTGAGATGAGAATATTAAAGTCACTCCAATTTTATCTGTTTATTTTGGGCTTGATAGCAATTAGTGGTCTTTGTGTCACCCAAAGTTTGTCAGGTACAAAATGTAAAAGGTCACACCTGTATTACACCTGTATGTAGGTCAAAACATTTTCACCATTTTTTTACTTAAATGTAACTTGTTCAGGGATATTTTTTCTGAGTTTGGTTGCCTTTAATAGAGATTCATAAAATTATATGAATTCTGCTTTAATAACTTATTTAAAAGTTTCATCAATCTTCTGATTTATCACTCGGGGGAAAAAAAACAAAACTATTTTGTAAGAGTGATTTAAATCAGTTTAAAAATTCAAAGAAAAGAGCCTGTAAACGAATGTCAGCCTCCAAGACTGAAAACAGAAACAGGGAAGTGCCAAAAACTGCAGTTCATCAAATGACCGCTTGAGGCTGAATACAAAAGTTAGACTTCAGTCTTAAAATCATATGATAAAGTTAGGAATGGCCAACATGACATCAGCGATTAGTTAGTAAAGTCCCAGCCAATGTAAAAACTTGTGGATGAGACCAAATATTGATGGCTGTTAATCACAAGGTATACCTTCCTAAAGCTCAACTTGCTTTATCATCCTTTTTGAGTCCTATGACGACCTTAATTTACATCAAAGACATCTTAAACTCATCAGTAAAGTGTTTATTGATGTGAGCAGGAGGGGAATTTCACAGTTTTATACAGTCAGACTTTAAACCGGAGGAGTCACCCTCTGCTGCCCTGAAAACAGTGGCTTCACTCAGACCAGAAAGCTACACCTGCCTACAGTACGTGGTTAACATGCCAACTTTATATTTGAAGCTTTATTGCACATAGAGTTGTGTTTTTTCTGTAACTCACCTATTTAAATTGTATTTTAGGTATAAAAATAGCATTTTGCTTCACCTCATCTAATTTCAATCCCAGTCGTGTTTGTGCACTTATCTGCTTAATATGGCTTGATTTGTACTAACACACCGTCTAACCTCCAGTTGTGGAGAGTGAAATTCCAGTGTTATGAGCAGTGCTGCACTTATAGATTCACTTTGCTAATAAAGCGAACGAGTAAGCATTGGCTGATTTTTAGACCTCCAGCCTCTTGTCAAAAGTGTGTCACCGAAGAAAACAACGGGCAGAATGCCAGATGCGAGGCTTTAAGACATTAGTCCACATACAATGTGTGACTATGATTAAGTTCATCTTTTATATACAGTAATAGTCAGTAAAGCAAAGTAACAAAGGCCTTGAAAACAGACAGCTGTTTGTTCATCTTTAGCAGTGAATAAGAACAACGGATAACTTGTTAAGATGGAGAATCATTAGGTTGTATTGACTGCCTTCTGTCATCATTAAAGCACATGCGTCCCCTTGAAGTGTCCGTGAACATGAAAGCCCTTCTCTCTCTGCTCGCTGTTTTTTTATTTGAAGCTGAACATGATGTCCCTGTGCTGGAAGTGATGCAGTGGGCCTTTGTGTGAGCCGAGCTTTAGACAAAAGAGACAGGATGAGAGAGGGTAGAAAATGTTTCTTTCCCTCCTTTTTGTCCTCAATACACTTTTGGAAAATTTTATCTCTGTTGAAGTTTTGTGTTGCTCAGAGTCCTTCAGGTCTTCGTCGCCTCTCCTCTCTTTCTTCCTCTCTCCCTTAACCTCCAGTTTATCGGTCCTCCTCTCATACTCTATCCCCTTTCTCGCTTTCATCTCCTTCTCCCTGTTTGTCTCTCTTTGTCTCTTCTCTCACTGATAGCCTGGCTGTAACTCAAACTAGTGTGTTATTGATGACTTACCCCGTGTTTCTGACTTCTGGTGCCCTGGCTTCAGTCCTATTCTTGAATCAAACCCAGAAACCCTTTCTCACACACACACACACACACACACACACACACACACACACACACACACACACACACACTATTGGCCTCAGCCGGGATTGGATGCCCCGTGCGGCCCCTCCTGTCTCCCTGCTGGCTGCTTGCTGTAATCAGTCATAGTAGAGCAGACACTCCATCCATCATGGAGGCTAAACTCCCTTCATCGCTCTGGCCCATAACCCAGAGCACACCTGTCAACAGCAGCCCGCATCACTGCATCTGACTTTGCACCGTCTCTTTGACTGTGAGAACAAAACTTTAGCTCTAACAGAAATCAAGAGAGAGGTCATTTAAAATCTTTCTTTGAGTCCAGCATCCTTCAATCAAAAATGGAGGCATCTGGTCTGGGCTCTCATGAGACGTCAAAGATGAGCCAGTTAGTACATCAATAATTTTCTAGTCTTTTATTAGAGTTAGTTCTTTTTCTTTAGGTTTAAAACTAGCTTAGTTGGAAAAAATATATACATTTAAAGGTTTTTCAGACTCAAGGACTGTTTCTATGTCTGGCTGTTTCATTATATCTCAGTGACACTTCAAGTCTAACGCCTGAATGATCACATCAAATGTTTGCTTTTGCTGTCTAATGTGTCTGAAATATTAAGTCCAAACTTTATAACATAGACATAGGTTAGGACAAATGTTCTCATCACAAGTATTTTAGCCACTGTTGAATCGTGATTATATAACACCATTACTCAGAGAATTTGGAAAATAATATTTGAGTCACCAAACTTAAAAAACAAAAGACAAAACTTGTCTTTTTAACAGAACGTTTGCTTGAAAAGAATTGTTTGGTAAAGTAAACATGGCACAGGGTGGCAGTGATATGAAGATCAATGCAGGCAATGGAAACAGCTGGGTTAGGAGAGACAGGTGAAGGCAATCAGGAAAGGATGGGAAGGAAGTGAAACTATAAACAAGGCACAGGACACAAATAACTACCAAAATAAAACAGTAAGGAAGTAACTCAGTAACTGAACAGGGGAGCAAAGAGACATGAATCAGCTTAAAAGAGGGAAACACATAGAAGAAAAAACATAACCTCTATAAATGCAAACAGTAACTTAAACTAAAATATAACCCGGAATAAAGAAAACCAAAACTTAGACAGCAAACAAACTGAGAACAAAGAAACTATATTCCATCAAAGTGGCAGGAGGGCGACAGAAGGAAATGAAAGTTGGAGCGGTGACAGAAAAGAATGAGCAGATTGTGGCACAATAACCATTTTATCTTGATTATCTTATTTCAATAATTGATGGCAGACAACATTGCAGTTGAAATCTAAATTCGATCTGTTGCACGGTCCTGCTTCAGGTTGTATTTAACAGCTTGCACAGATGGCATATCCAAGTGATTCTGACAGAAGACCGTCTCCTAGCAATTGGTGGTGAGTGACATATTGGTAACTAGCTGAGTCAAAATCTCTCTCTTTGAATCTCATGCATAATAATTATATTTTTGCACGATCACATGCTTTCGTTTCACAAAACTCAAACACAACTTGAAATATGGTCTTAGGCCTCTAGTTTACTCAAACTCAGTCTGCAGACTACTGTAGATATGTGGCGGTTAATTGAAAATAAGGAATATTAAAAAAATGTCATGAATTTGAATTTGTTGAGACGAAACACAGTTTTAGAAAAAAGATTTTGACATTTTTCCAAAAAGAGAAAAAGTCCAAATAAAGTCTTTGCCTTCATTTTTAAATGAATTCATTGATAATTTTATTCATTTACTTGTGAAAAATGAGATAACAAAGATAATAAAAACATTTTTTTTTCAAAATACAGTTTATTTAATTGTTCTACTTGGGGCAGGGATAGCTCAGTAGGTAGCGTGGTGGCCCCATGATCGGAAGGTCGGGGGTTCGAATCCACTGAACGGCTACACTGAGGTATACCTGAGCAAGGTACCGTCCCTACACACTGCTTCCCGGGCGCCCAATGGCTGCCCACTGCTTCACTAAGTAAATGGGTTAAATGCAGAGAGGAATTTCCCCACGGGGATCAATAAAGTAAATAGTACATTGTTATTACATTATCATTAATCTGTATTAGGAGTTTTATTATTGTACCCTTTTATGCCAGATTAAAATTTAAAACAATATTTTTTGTGCAGTGCTTTTTTCTGGGAACAAGACTGTCTGGATTTTCTTTTTCAAAGTCATAACCCACCGTCCTTTCAGTGGAATAAAGATGTGGTCCTGTTTTAGCATTTTGAAGCTCTAGTTGGACAGCAAAGTGGGGCCACGCAGAGGTTAGAGACAAAGTGACGCGAGTGTGAAGGCTCTGCAGGAGGTTAATACTTTGTTTCAGCTTGCTGCTATTTGTTTTGGCATCTGTACATCTGTTTTGACTTTGATTTTTGTTTCTTTGCCTCCACAGATAGCTGCTCTGCAAAGAGGAGGAGACAGCTTCCCACTCATAGGCGCCTCAGGCAAAGTGCTCGGAAAGGTGCGGCAAAGGACAGATGCACAGAAAATAGAAACAAATACCTCTGACAAAGGTGTTGTGTTATTGCTGCTGACTTCAAAGAAAACCCTCGCTGCTGAAAGTCAAACGCAACAAATTCTTTATGATGATCACAACTGGAGAGCGAGATGAATGCTGAAAAGTTACAGCAGACTTCTGTCTTTGAATTCAGGCACTGCGAAGCTCTGACAAGAGCTCGAAGCCAGTGTATGTGTCTGTGGGCCACAAGATCAGCCTGGACACAGCTGTCCGCCTCACACACGCATGCTGCCGATACCGGGTCCCTGAGCCAATCAGACAGGTGGGCCTATGTGCACACACACACACACACACACGCACTGTAAAAGTGCATTGAGCCATCATGAGTGTTCAGCAGAGCAGCTGCAGGAACGCTAGAAGCCTTTTTTGTGAACAGTAGAAACAAAAGTTGAACTTCTCATCTTAGAAGCAGAACACTGTTTCAGGGAGCGAGCAGTGCTCACCACTTGTGTAACAGTGTCCTGCTGTGAAGCGAGGAGGTGTGAGCATCACGCTATGCAGTGCTTTATTGGCAGCAGGGCCTGGGAGACAATTTAAAAATGGAGAGAAGAAGAATATATGCAGCCAAATTAGGGATGTTCCAATTTTGGCTGTATTTTTACATGAATTCCAGCCCCGGCGCAGAAAACTGTGCAGACAGTTTCAAACGATAAGATGATGCCGGCTGTCAGACACAAGTGCAACAAAGCTATAGTGTGACACTGAAGATATTTTTAACTGCAAGGCAGACAGGATCTTCGCAAAGTTGAAAAGTATATGGTTCATACTTTGCTATTATATTTGAGATGCACAGAAATGAATGGATGATGAACAGAGTGAACTTTTTTAATTAGGCCAATGATATTTTGTTTACTTTAGACGCTCCCTATGACCAACAACAAGTAAAAGCTCTTTTATTCGACTAAGAGCCATGTAACCATGCTTTGGTTACTTAAAAAAACCTAAAATCAGCTGTCATAATGACAGCTCTGTAGTGCCACCAGTTCACCACATTGACACAGAGTGCATTGTGCTTACAAAGTAAGCCTTCATAGATTAAAATATGCACTCAATTATCTTTTTAATTTAAATTTTAAATATTTATTTATTTAAATATTTTAACTGAGAGAGAACATTTTCATTTTAATTATTATTGTAATTTTTGATATGTTAAAATACTTTTTTTCCAAATACTTTTCATACTTGATATCAAAATTAATAAAATAAAATAAAAAGGCACAAATATTACAGTTGTTTTGAGCATAACTGGTATGTTATCTGTTGCTATTTAAGTTACATTTTGTTTGTTTGTATTTTAAAGAGTTTCCTCCTGGTTTGTGAATATTGAGTCTTTCGCTAATTATAGATGCAAAATGATACATTTGTATAAAAGTGTGCTCCCCTCACCACTAGTCAATTTCCTTCCTCCTTTACTTTGCAAAGGTGAGACGCTGTTTTTGTTCTTCCATCACTCCTTAAAGTGAAACATAAATACAGTTTAAGCCAGAGTGCATTTTATCACACTGTCATGAGGCAACCGAACCTTTGATTAAATGTTTACGGAGGCTGGAGGTGTGTCCACAATCAACATTTTTTTTTTAACCTGATTTCAACTGTTTTTTCTTTTCTGATAGACATTACTGATTTCCCATGAGCCCTCTGCACTGATTGGTTTTGGTTTTGAAAATGCCACCGATAAAAAATATTTATGCGTGAGGCTCAATGTGCTGTTGATTCCTTTTGTTTAACTGCAGCCCGCAAAATTTTAAGACAACCCAATAAAGTGAGCTGAATTGTCGCCCAGTGGTGGCGATTAAGTTCACTATGAACTTTTTAGTGTCCCTTTTCTCTTGTTGCTCAGCTATATCGTACTCTGCCTCCTGCCCAGTGCATGCTGGCACTGGTAACGGGGTAAGTTGGGATAGAAAGTTAAGTGCTTTTTTAAATGTCTTAAAAGTTTTACTCACAACATAAAATAGCAAAAACAACCACTAAATGTTTTCCTGAGGAAGAGGAGGAACATCACCTCATCTTTTTCTTTCTGCCACTAGGCTGTGCTGTGCTTCTGCAGTGCACCATATGATTACTGCAAGCCACCTGACTGCACTGTAAACACACACACACACACACACTCACACTCAAAATCAGTTTTATCAGTTTTTTCACCAGAGGAGCTGCAGTAGCAGCGGCTAACTCACCTCCTCCTGTGTGTGTTTATTTCAAGTGTTTTAGCTGGTGGGGAGAGGGGCATCCGGCAGCAACAGGGACTGACTGTGGACATCAGAGAGAAGCAGGAACAATCTTACCTTCCTCTGTCCAGTCACCAGTGCCTCCCTCTTCATCCTCCTTTCTTTGCCCAACTGCTCTGCTTTCAGTCTCTGACATCCACATTCCCTTCTGTGTCTCCCAGCATTGCCCTCGTGTTCTCTCCCGGCTTCTGCCACAGGTACTTTCTCCTTCATAGATCCAGCTGCGATGTTACGTCTCGCTGGCAGGCAAATTTTCATCCTTCAGGCTTTTGAAATCACAGTCACATCTCATGAAAAAAGCAAAATCAAAAAGAGATCAACCTGACAGGAAGACTGAATAACTGAATACGTTTGACAGTAGAAAATGAAAACAGGTTTTTGTGTGCAAATGTTCATCGTGGACAAACTAGAAAGATGCAAATATATATAACTACCCACACTTAAACAGATTCTGTGTCAGTCCCACACTTGCACATACTTGGTAGGACTCCACATCCAAAGGTTGCTTGGCTGACCATCTAGTCAGCCTCTTGTTCTGCGTCGGCTCCACCTCAGCTCCAGTGAGGGTGTTTTTGCTTCCTTGTCTCTTTACCTTTGCTGATGTTGAGCAGTGGGTTATTCTCTGTGTACCATGCTGTAAGATTATTGATTTCCTCTAGATATAAATCCTCTCTTCCTCTCATCAGTGTTTATAATCTCACCAGAACGGTTGCGCTCTCTGCAGAGCTCACAATAGAGTTCTCTCTGGGTCTCTGAATGCAATCGTGGGAGAACAGTGTGAACAGGATGAGGCTGAACACTCAAACCTGGAGGTTTGTGGTGTGACGCTCCTGTCTGAGGAAGTCCAACATCTAGTGTCAGATTGTGGCGCTAAAGGCCAAAGTGCTGAGTTGAAATCAACAAACAACATACAGATATTTGTGCCTTGATTTTCAAGGCGAAGTGGGAGGAAGTGGAGATCTGATCCTTTGATGGTTCAGCCTGACTGAAATGTTATCTTTAATGTACTGGGCCAGACATTTAAACCATTATCTTCTGCTCATCTCATCTCGTCGGGTTGCTGTAACAGCAGTTTAAACAGCGTATTCCAGATGTCCTTCTCCCCAGCATGGGTTTGCAGTAACTCTTAGGGGGTCCCAACAATATAATCTCTCCAGTGGGTTCCAGATCTTCTTCTGGGTCTTCAAAGTGCCCAACAAAACCTCCAAATGGAAGTGCGCTGGAGGCATCCTGATCAGATACTGAACCGTCTCACTTGGCTCCTTTTAACACAAAAGAAGTAACAGCTGAGCTCTCTGTGGATGTTTGAGCTCCTCATCTGTAAGGCTGAGCCCTGCCATCCTACAGACAAAACTCATTTCACTTGATTGTATTCAAAATATATTACACATTACTTGTTACTTTTCTTAAAAGTTGTGCATTACGTTGCTTAAAAATTTACCTGAGAAAGTAAATTGTTACACTAATTATTGCATTATTTTGATGTTACTCCATAACATGACCTGAAACACACCATCACATAGTTACTAGGTAACAATATAACCATTATGCTACATACTGCTCACCGACACAAACCAGTGTCGTATTGAGGGCACACATACGACTTTTCTTTAGTGTTTACATGTGTACTATGTCTCTACCTGTTAAAGTTCAGGCTCTGGCTGCTGGGCTGGGGTCAGCATGCACTCAGGTTTAACATCATTCCCAAGTCATAAACTGCTTCACCATTTTCCTCCCCCTACCAGGCAGAAAAAGACGTGTTTTTTTGTCCTATCCTCCCATCGTGCAGATAACTAATAAACTCTTGTTATACAAGTAATAATAATTGTAACTATAGTGTGATTACAGATTTTTATATTTGCATTTAGATTATTACGTCACTAAGAATGGTGATTGCAGTAACGTGTTACTTTGGAGCATGTGACACACAAATGTTTGTGACATTAACTGGTCATACCCAGATGTCATGACCATGTGAGATGGTTGGAGTGAAAAACTGCTTGTTGGATGTTATGAATAATTCAAGAAATCCCTCTCTGTCCACCTGTCTTTTCTTCTTGTAGCTTAGCAACAGTTCATTCGATGCACTGTGTGTTGCTGGGAACTGCTGTGCTGAGTTTGATGTTATTTAGATAAGAACTTCTCATAATTTGGCTAAAAGTTGTCCTCTATAACCTGTTTTTCTCTTTAGAGTGACACGTGCTGTCTCCACTCAGTATGTAAAGGGAAGGACAAACATAAACACACAGGCCTCAGGGGATATTCACTAACACGAGTCCAAGTTTTCCAAGTCTCTCGCACCTTAACGCTTAAAAAGACTGAAGGGTGTAAAATATTAATGAGCGCCTGCCAAAAAGTTCTAGCATTTAGAAAACTGCATCACTCACTGGCCCTTTCTCAGAAAGATAGGTTGACACGTTTGCCTTTCATTGTATTTATTTTTTTGTCTTTGCTGTCACCAATGATTTCAGTCACTTGTGTTGTTTGGACGAGCAGTTCCTGAATAAGCTGCAACCTACAACGAGTTATACATACAAACAGATTTTAAATGTCATAAATGTAGCTGTCCTGTTTTCAAAACACAGAGTTTATGATAGCCTGGGGTGACACGTGTGACACTCTTCCTGAACAGATGCTGCATAACTGTTAAAAATGTCAGTATAAGATCAACCAGGGCATTATTGTGAAAGAAATGCAAGATTTTTATAGTCCTTAATATTTGTGCCAGGAGAGGCAATAAAGGTCAGTCAGCTGATGTTTAGTAACTTTAGCGCCTCTGTCATGATTCGGCCGTGTGGCAGGCAGGATGAGGACCCAAATTGCAAACTCACAGACACGGGGGATAAACTCAAAATGCAGCTTTATTGCTGACAGGTGATAAACAATAACGATGATACAAAAGCAATGCAAAACTACACTAAACTGGGAAAAGCTAAAGTAACATATACCGGAAGACACGGGGAGAACCACACACGGCATGAGGGAGAACGCGACGCCGAACAGAGGGAGACGCAGACAGAAATACACAGAGGGTAAACGAGGAAAGTTTGAACACACGGGGAACACAGGTGACGCTGATAATCATAACGAGACAGGGCGGGGTGAACTGAACATGACATGTACAGGCGTGAGAGTCACAAAGTAAACAGGAAGTGCACAGAGGTTCAGACAGGAGGAGAGAGAGCACGGGGAAAATACAGACATAACGGGCTGGGGAAACATGGAATAAAACATAAGGAGAGACGAGGGCTCAGATACACAGAGGGGCACACAGGGGGAAGAGAGAGCACGGGGAGAACTTAGACATAATGGGCAGGGGAAACATGGAATAAAACATATGGAGAGACGAGGGCTCAGATACACAGAGGGGCACACAGGGGGTAAAAGCCATGAAGGGAAAACACTTAGGGAACAACACAACAGGGCAACTCAGAAAACATGGCCTAAGCAAGGAACAAAATACAAAAATACAAGGAACTAAGAATACTGGGCCCACATGGCCCAGGACCATGACAGCCTCTTTATGTTTCTCCAGGTCTTTTAAATTTTTCTGGAAATATATAGGGAATTTTTCGAAAAGATGTTGGCTCATTTGGAGCTGATGATGAAACTGGACTGCTTGATATCTTCTGCGGGTTCTTGCTTGCCGTCTGGTGGCTGAAGGTCAAAAACTATGATTCACATCATCCTCAAACTGTTCAATAAACATGGAAGCATCTGCATTTGTTATATTTTGCTTGCAAGTGTATTCCTGAGAGCTTGCTTTTCATTCCTATTTCTTTGGCTTGGTTTTATCAAGGTTTAGCGTGTATTCGAGAGTTGTTTTGGCTCTTCTGCCTTTACCAATCTGTATGTAGCAAAAAGAGAGGAGAGCTGAACCAGACGGAACATGTTTAATATTAAGAGATTCCTTCCTTAGTTTGTCCTTGATGCTGCACTTACAATTTTATTACTGACTGGGCCTTGAGATTATATATTTATAACACGACCTCCATTACAAGTGTTTGCAATAAGTAAGAATTAAATTCCTAAGGAGGATTTGATGAAAAACATCCTTCACTGGTTTCATTTTGACAGGGTTTTTAAGGGGGACCAGTTGTGCTTTTCTTTATTTGTAATCAAACATGTTAAAATGGTGAGTGATCATATTAAACATGGCAAAGGACCCAAGTAATGAGGTCAATGCATGTGCAAATACTGTGAGTCCTTTGCTTGTCAGTGAGAGCTCTGATATGGTCGGATCTGTTCAAATGTTCTGCTTGTGAGCGTTTAATCAGAGGAAAGGCGTCTTAGAGTGAAAGGAGAGGAGCAAACTGGACCAGCATGAGATAAATATGGATGATTTTAAACTGTTAGTCATTCAAAGTTGCTCTATGAGAGTTCAGCGATAAAAAAAATGAAGCTGGAAATGAGCATAATGTACTGAAGGTCACCTTGAGCGGCTGATGGTGCAAAAACAGACAAACTCAGATCTCCTCTATTTTTAAGCTGGGATGTACAGAAACATTAAAACTAACTTTATTTATGGTATTATGTTCCTGTAATTGATTCTTAAAGGAGTGTGCACCTCGTTCAGTTGAAGTGCTTGAACTTTCTCTTTTGAGGTCATTGTGATGTTTTGGGGATTTTTAATAAATAAAATGTAAAAAAAAAAAAACACAAACCCTTGATATTCATAGTTTTCTGTGCACACAAAGTCAGTTTAAAATTTCAAATTCAAATTTCAAATTTTATTTGTCACGTACACAGTCATACACAGTACGATATGTAGTGAAATGCTTGGACAACTGCTCGTGACCTAAAGAGAACAAAAAAGGAAAAGGCTATGAATAAGATAGGAAATAAATATGAAAAATTAAAAAGGGTAAATTTAACTAGGAAGGAATAGAATATAAATTAAGGTTAAAAATGAAATAACTGTACAACACAAATTAGAATGAAGGGTAAATTTAACTGGGAAGAATAAGATAAAGATAAATATATAAATTAAAGTTGAAAATAAAATAACTGTACAACAAAATACACAATATAGAACTATATAAGAATGTATGAAGAAATCTAAATATAAATAAATATATACACAATAACAGCAGCTGTACAAGTATTAACCGGAAATGAAGAATATAGTGACCAGTGTTGTGCAAAACCAAAGTCCAGAAAGTCCAGTGTGTGTGTAAGAACTGTATGTGTGGGTCAG